CAATATTTTCTCAGTTTATTAATCGGCTTGCTCTGTATCATAATATACGTTCGCTTTCCTCATCTGAGCTCATCTGAAATTTTCAGAATATTCTCAAATGTCGAAAGTTCACTGTGATCATAGTCGTATATAAAACTTCCTTAAAAAAGCACGGACAGAAAATTCGGGTAAATACATTCTTATACCACTCTGAATACGAATCCTAGCTTTCCAACCATTGATAATTTTTCACGGTAAAAAACCAACCATGATCTGCTTCGTCTTGCACAGCACCCCTTCGACCAGGCGGCGAGTAATAGCTTTTATAGGCTCAGTCACTGCTGTCTGAGCCCGGGTGTGAACCGGTAAACAGTATGTTAAACGACAAAGAATCAGGATGTGTTACCAAGCCTATTACTGTTCACTAACCAATAATAATTCTATTATTACTGATAATCAATAGTAATCACTGTTACTAACCAAACTTGATACTGATACTACTCACCCCTCCGACCAGGCGAGTAATAGCCAGTATAGAGGTATAGCTGCAGGCTCAGTCACTGCTGTCTGAGCCTTGGTATGAGCCGGTAGACAGTGTGTTACACGACAAAGAATCAGGATGTGTTACTAATCCTATTACTGTTCACTAACCAATAATAATTCTATTATTACTGATAATCAATAGTAATCACTGTTACTAACCAAACTTGATACTGATACTACTCACCCCTCCGACCAGGCGAGTAATAGCCAGTATAGAGGTATAGCTGCAGGCTCAGTCACTGCTGTCTGAGCCTGCAGCATGAATCGGTAGACAGTGTGTTACACGACAAAGAGTTCGATAAGTCAATTATCACTTCAAAAACACACACATACATAACACAGGTGTCACAAAAGCGACCACGGAGATTCTGACAAATACTTTCCTAATAAAAATTCCAACAAAACCAATTCAAATCAGCACATATTTTTTCAATCTCAACACTCCACCAACCTCATCTCTCGTGAAGCGGAGACACTATAACCCATAAAAACCATAATCCTCCTCCTCTACTACTACCACTACTACTACTACTACTACTACTACTACTACTACTACTACTACTACTACTACTACTACGAACTACATTATTTTGAATACAAATCCGATCAGATCCAATTTTAATCAGCGTATATTTTCCCAACACTCCACCAACCTCATCTGCTCCAAAGCTTTCCACCAATCCTCGACTCTCCTCGCTGCTCGTCGTCGCCACCCATTCAATGCCGAACTCCGCCTTGCACAATTGTA